CTCTCTCTCTCTCTCTCTCTCTCTCTCTCTCTCTCTCTCTCTCTCTGTCTGTCTGTCTCTCTCTCTCTCATACACACGCACACATACTCACAAAGATTTCTAAAAAAGATGTATGGGAAAAGGTATGAGAAACCATTAGAGAATGGGCATGCCCTAACAAAATATCACAGACTGGGTAGCTTAAATAATAGGAATAAATTTGTTTACAGTTCTTAAGCTACACGTCTTAGGTCTAGGTACCAGCAGATTCCACTTTTTTTGATGGTTATTTCTAGTCTGAAAACACTTGCCTTCTCATTGTGCCCCATGTGACTGGTCATACCTGTGTGTGCAGAGGGAGGGGAGAAGGAAAGGGAGACAGATATCTGGATATCTGATCTCCTTCTCTTAGGAAGAGCTCTCCGGATCCTTTAGGACCATATTTAAATCTTCCTTACCCCCCTCAAAGCTTCTCTCCCTCTTACAGGCCGTGTTTTGCAGGTTGGGGCCCACAGTCACCAATGCTGTTTCCTCTCTCTCGATCGACTCTCCACTCCCTGAAGTTACAAATTTCACTGTGCTCTCCACTTCCCTTCACCGCTGAGGATAGCCAAGGTGTCTGCAGCCCCTCTGCTCTCTTTAGGTTTGTCACACCCCTCACAGTTCCTTCCCTGTACCAGCTTAGAGTCTGTGTCCCAGGATTTTGCTCTTGTCCCTGTGTTTTTCTGTCCTACCCATCTAAGTAGATTCTTACCTCTGATGAACTGAGCCATCAACATCCCCAGCTAAATTGCAGGAGAAAATTAAACTCTACTGCTGAAAAAAAAAAAATTCTACTCTCCAGGGGGCCCTCCCTACTGTCCTACAGACTTACTGCATCCCTCTGCTCTCCACTTCCCACCCCCTATTACATTTAGGTTTTGTGTTTTCTTCCTTTCCTTTTTAACTCTTTTGGGTAGGGTGATAGCTGTGTAGGTATGAGGACCTGAGTTCAAATCCTAAGACCGCACACGAAGCCAAGTTCAGCAGCACACGTCTGCAATTCCAGTGTTCCTACTCCAGATGGAAGACAGGGAAAATCCTCAAAAACTTGGGGGCCAGCTGCCCTGATATACACACTGGAGAACAAGAAGAGACCTTGTCTCCAATGAGGTGGAAGACAAGGACAGACATCTGAAATTGTTCTCTGACCTCCACACAGGAGCTGTGGCATGTGTGCACACATCCTCAATACACACACACACACACACACACACACACACACACAGAGAGAG